GAGGGGAGGGGAGGGGAAGGGAGAAGGAAGGAAGGAAAGGAAGAGAAAAGAAAAGCAAAGAAAAGAAAAAGAAAGAGAAAAGAAAAGGAAGAAGGAAGGAAGAAGGAAGGGAGGGAGGGAGGGAGGGAGCGGGGAGGGAGGGAAAGAAGGAGAAAAAAGAGAAAAGAAAAGAAAAGATTTGAAGAGTCAATGTGTGAGGAATGCAAACAAGGAGAGAGAAGAAAAGGAACTAAAATTCAAGAGTGATGAACCAGCCAAGGTAAATAAAGAGGAGGGGGGTTCTTGGAGATGGCAGAAGATCAGGAAGGGAAATCAAGTTATTATGAAATGAACTTGAGGTACAATGAAAATAAAGGACAGGTTTAGAGAAGTTACGACACAGACAAAAAAATTAGCCTCCTAAGTATCTTGCAAAGGATAAATGCCAACATGCTTGCCATGGTATACCAAGGGCTCCACGGTTCAGCTTCACTGTTTTCCCGGTCCATGTGTGCCAGCCACAATCCGTTCCTCCTGGTGACACAGCACAATAGCTCTTTCCACCCCACCACAGCACCCTTCCATGTGTGGCTTCCTCGGTCTGAGAGGCTCTTCTTTATTACAGGCTCAGTCACTTCATGGGGATTGTTTCCTGATGAAAGACCCTTTTCCAACTACTTTTCCTCTCTAGCATACTCCACTGTAGTTTTATTTATTTTTGTGAATTTCTGATTTATATCTTCCACACAGAGACTGAAGTTCTGTGAGGACAGGGACAATACGTGTCTTTTTCTTGTCTCTAAATCTTCTATCATAGTAAAGCCTGGGTGTTGGCACTCCTGGCAAAAAAGGGACAAATTCCTTTGCTTGGACACTTTCAGCAAGCACTGAATTAGTATAGTATCATAGAGTCATGAAAATCTCAGGGGTGGAAGAAGCACAGACCATCTACTACAGCAATTCTCAAGCCTTTTAGACCCCAATGCCAAGGAGCTTTAGTTCTTGAGGATTGCAGAGGGTCTCCAACTTACTATGGTTCTATTTATGATTTCTTTTTAACCACAACAAGTTGGGGTGGGAAAAGCAATAGACTTTCTGTAGAAACCATATTTTGAATTTTGACTTAAAATTTTTTATTAACTTTATATAAAATTGGCTTCTTGTTACATGACTTTGCCCAACTGTAGACCATGTTAAGTGATCTGAACATGTTTAAGGCTGGGTAGGGTAAGCTATGATATTTGATAGATAGGCCAGGTATATTAAATGTACCATTGACGTAAAGATATTTTCGACTTATAATGGGTTTACTGGGAAATAACCTCATTATAAGTTGAGAAGCATCTGTATACATACTGATATTTACCATATTAGATGTTAAACCAAGAAGTGTTTCAAATATTCAATCAAAATGATAAAAATCCATTAATGTAAAAATTTTTTTTCTTTTAAATTAGAGGAGTTGCAATGTTTTACGTTTTTGAAGTTCTGTTTATTGTCTAGCTTATAGCTGGAATCTGCATCTGCTTTTGCATTCAATCCATTGTGATTTGCCATTTTGGATGAAGTAAAGGAAAAGAATCTAGCTTCCTACAGATAAGTAGTTGGAAAAGTGAGGAATATTTTAATAGTGTTTTCACATAAGTGTAGACAATCTTTAGTGCTACACTAAGTCAGTGAAAACCGTATCAGTTTACTTTTTGATTATGTTACATAAAAATTTATTGTTGTGACTTGCAGTGAGAATGGTCATTTAAAAATTATTGATTCGCTGATTTACACAGAGCTTCCAAATACTGGCATACATCATGTTAGAGTACTAAGAATAAAGTCAATTCTTTAAAAATATCATATGCAAACCTGTCAGAGAAAACAGCCTTTAAGTATAGGTGAAACTTTCAAGCTCATGCTGGCAGATAAAAGACTTCCAGAATTCTAATTTTTGCTTTACAGCTTGGATTTTATCATTGGCCACAAATACTGTGAGTGGTTTTCCCTGAAGTAACTGACTTACTTTGTTCATTTTCAAGAAAATGTCTAGCAAATATCAAGGTAAGAATAACCACAGTTTGCAGTCTAGTTTTCAAGTAGAAGTGGTGTTCAACGAAAGAAAAAAAAGTTCAATTCACAATTTAAATAATCACACAAGTATTTTTAAATCAAAATAACTATATACTTTGCTATGCAGTAGACTTTATGTTTACTTTTCACCTCATCACACAGAATATTAAGACACATATTAAATAGCCGTGTTTTAATAAAGAGATCATTTTTATTGCTCTAGCAGAGCAATAAAATGACTTTTTTCCCCCTGTGAGAGTACAGTGGTGAATTACAATAACAACTTAGCTTGGTGTTACTGCCTTGATTCTTGCTGAAGGAATCAGTGTTTTTACCTACCACTGCTTTTGCATAATCAGCACAACTGTTTACACTGTCAAGGAGGCAAATACCATCTTAGTGTTATCAGGAAAATGGTTTCAACCTTGCAGATCCCCTCAAAAAGAATGGCAGGAATTGGGCATCTGTGGAGCAGACACTGTGAACTAATGTTTGGTAAAACCTTCCTATCTAGCTGATCGTTAAATTCTCTTCAACCACCCACTCCCAAAGGAAAGAAAGAAGGAAGAAAGGAAGGAAAAGAAGCAAAGCAGAAAGAAGGAAGGAAGGAAGGAAGGAAGGAAGGAAGGAAGGAAGGAAGGAAGGAAGGAAGGAAGGAAGGGGAAAGAAATGGAAATGAAGGAGAAGAAAAGAAAAGAAGAAAGAAAAGAAAAAGAAAGAAAGAAAGAGAGAGAGAGAGAGAGAAAGGGAGGGAGGGAGGGAAAGACAAAAGAAAAGAACTTAAGCACTTTTAGTGACAAAATTCATTGTCTTCCTAAACTGGTTATCACATCTTTAAATAACAGTGTTCAGAAACACCAAAAATACGGTCTACTTTATACTAAACAAAACATTTCCCCTACTTTCAGCTATCGATCCTAGGTCCACTCTCTAGGGTCATTTTGAAATCTCTTTCGGATATGTGAGGAAGCTACAACTTTCCTCTTTTGTCTTCTGTGCTAAGTACCTGGCTCTTTACAATTTACATGGCACAAATGTGAGCCATTTATTCAAACAGGCTCTTTCTTCCTTATGGCCAAATACATAAGCAAAGTGGCTACACACTTACCCATTAATTAATCACATAAAAGAATATCCAGGTTCCAAACCTTCAACTAACAACAAATCTTCTCCCAGTGTTTTTCACTTCCATCAGGGAAAGTCTCTTCCAAGACGACATTGTTTCAGTCTACGAAAACCATCTTTTTGCTGCTTCCTTTCACCCCTTCCCACTCTCACCCTGATCATTTGCAGATCATTTGCAGATTTGTAACAGAATATTCCTTTCTCAATATTTAGTGTGTCTGCCTATAAATGAAACAGACCCCAGGTGCTGCTAACCTGGATGCTTTCACCAGTCACCACCAGCCAGTACAGATTCAGATTCCTCAATGTCGTTGCAGATTTCACCAAGTGCTTTAACCTCCACCACCCCAGACCCATATACCATCTGCAACTGAATTGTACTATTTCAAATCCTGGGGAAAAATAAAAATTAATTCTATAGAGAGGAAGATGTTTCATTTGTGGTGGAGGGGAAAAAGGTGGATCCTGATATTGAATTGATATCCATTTCTGCTGAGTTTATGAATGGTGCTAAGCAACTCTTTCTCAAATGTTGAAATAGGCTCATTGTTTCTTATGGCCAAATACATGAACAAAGTGGCCACACACTTACACATTGATTAATCACATGAAATAATTTCCAGGTCCTAGGGCCAGGCACAGTGGCTCATGTCTGTAATCCCAGCACTTTGGGAGACCAAGGCAGGCGGATCACGAAGTCAGGAGATCAAGACCATCCTGGCTAACGCAGTGAAACCCCGTCTCTACTAAAAATACAAAACATTAGCCGAGTGTGGAGGCAGGTGCCTGTAATCCCAGCTACTCAAGAAGGTGAGGCAGGAGAATAGCTTGAACCCCGGAGGGCAAAGGTTTCAGTGAGCATCGCACCATTGCACTCCAGCCTGGGTGATAGAGCAAGACTCTGCTCAAAAAAAAAAAAAAAAGAATTCCAGGTTCTGAACATTCAACTAAAAAACCTTCCCTCTCCGTCTTTTTCACTTCTGTTAAGAAAGCTCCTTCCAAGATGACGTCGTTCCAGTATACAAAAACTATTTAAGTTAGTATTCTCTGGGACACTAACTTAAGCTAAGCACCTTAGATAAAACATGTTTAAAAATCAAGTCAGGTTTTCTTCCTCTGAACCTTCATGGATCTTCATTCCAGTAAACTGGAAAACTAGTCACCCATCCAGAGAGCTGGGGTTATCCTAAACATCTACCCATATTTCACTTCCACATCCAATGAGTCACTGAGTCTCAGACCCACCTCCACTGCCATCGTCCTTGTCCAAGCTACTGCCATCTCTCAACTCAACTACTCCAATATCCTGACTGGCCTCCCTGAAATCATCCCTGGCTCTCTTTAATACATGTTCTATGAAGTACTTAATGTGATTGTTTTTAGAAGATGCAAATCAGAGCATGTATATCCTACTCAAAACTTTTTAATGATTAACCATTATTTTTAGAATAATACCTAGATGTAATCGTACAAAAAAACACAGGGAAGCAATGAAGGATGAAAAGAAGGTAGACCAGCCAAGGACCTCACAACGTGATTAACAGTGTGGCGATGAAGTTCCTGAGTCTTCTATTTTCTTTCCATTTATCCCAGGTGGGGTGATAGAGAAGCTCAGAATCTGGAACCACCATCAGACACAGGAAAAAAAAAAAAGAAAGAAAAAGGAAAGCCTGCTTCCTTCCTCCAGCCAAAGGACTAGGAAAAAGGTGGTCTGACAGAACAAAAAAACCTTTCTCTTAATACCTGCCCTATACCAAACACCAAATGAAGAACTGTTCCACTGAGGTGTTATTGTGGCCAAATGAAGAGCTGAACTGTCACTCCAGCAGCTATGAGGTGGGGCAAGCGGGTATGAGGCAGTGCTACTTAATACAATGCCTGCTCCAACTTCCCATCAACCTGGCATCTGGGGGCCCAGTGGGCAGCCAGACTTTCACCTCCACCTGACGGCAACAAGACAGAAAGAGGTGATTTGAGGTGGTACACATGATCAACTCAATCTAATTAGAAAATGGGAAAAAGATACAAACAGACATATCGCCAAAGAGAAGACATGGGTGACAAGTTGGCATATGAAATGATGTTCAACATCATTCGCCATTAGGGAAATGCAAATTAAAATCATGATGGAATATCACTATGAATCCATTGTAACAGCTAGAATAAAAACCAGTCACAATACCACGGATGCAGCAAAACTGGATCTCTCATATATAGCTGTTGAGAATGTAAAATGGTACTGCCATTCTGGAAAACAGTTTGTCAGTTTCTTAAAACGTTAAATATACACAACTTACAACACAACAATTGCAGTCCTGGGCATTTATCACAGATAAAACCTAAGTCCACATGGAAAAACATTATGTACATAAATGTTCGTAACAGTTTTATGTGTAATACACGAAAACTCAAAACACCCCAAATGTCTTTCAGGAGGTGAAAGATTAAACAAACGTTAGTATGTTCATACCATGAAGTACTACTTGAGAATAAAATGAAATGAACTACTGATGCACTCAACACTTCAGTGGATCTCACGGAAATTATACTGAGTGAAAAAAAGCTAATCTTAAAAGGTTATATGCCATGTGATTCCATTTATATCACATTCCAAAATCACAAAGTTATAGGGATGGAAACAGATTATTGACGACCAGGGTTTAGGGAGGAAGAAAAGGATGGGGTAATTAAAAGGGGTTAGCACAAGGGATCATTTGGGTGGTGGAATCATTCTACATCTTGACTGTGCTGATAGTTATATAAATCAATATGTGATAAAAGTACATAGAACAATATACACATACGTGTGTACATGCATGCCTACACCCACTAGGAGTGCATGCAAAACTGGTGAAATCTAAAAAAGGTCCATGGATCATACCAATGTAAATTTCCAGGTTTTGATGTTATACTATAGTTTTATAAGATGCTATCACTGGGGAAACCTGGGTATATGGGACACAGTGTACTATTTTTACAAAGCCCTCTGACTCTATAATGATTCTAAAATAAAAACTTGAAAGAAAAAAAGGAACAAAATGACCCACTGATCATCCATTCCATTTTGTCCCCAAATATGTTCATTATTTTGAACATCCAATCCTGGCTATGGTGATCCAGTCCAAACACCCAAGAAAGAAGCCAGCTTATGGTCTCCTGTCTCCCACATCCCGTTAGCAACATTTCCTGTTGAGTCTTCCCCTGAAAAAAGTCTCAGAAACCCAGACTTCTCCCTCTCACTCGCACTGCTACCCCAGAGCGACCCTTATACACTCATCCCTGCCAGTCTCAATCCCTGCCTCTCCTCCAACTCCCATTTCCCTATGCACTACTTTCCAGCCACGTAAAACTCTTTGCCTAAAACACATTACAGGTATTGATCAACTTACGATCTATGCAACTTACGACCATTCGACTTTATGACCACAATTGCTAGCCACGACTGCTCTGCGTCTGGCAGCGCAAACGTTGCCCAGCTGGACATACGACAGTGTGGACCAGCTTCCGGCAGCACTACCATCTCTGCGTGCATACAGCCAGCTTCCGGCAGCACTACCATCTCTGCGTGCATACAGCCTACTCAACTTACGACCAAATCGTGTTACGGCTGGTCTGTCGGAACCAATCGTGGTCGTAAGTCGAGTACTAGCTGTATAGATTATTACATCCATGCCTTTGATCATACTGCTCCATCTGCTGGGACTTTATCTCTTCTCTGTAACATATTACTCACCAACACTTAAAAATAATCCTAGATATTGCCTCTCTATGAACATCCTTTTACCTTCCCCAAGATCAAATCCTTCTTGCCTTTTCAGCAACTGTCCCACTCGTTCCAAAGAACTCTATCTAGCCTTTAAGAACATTAGACTGCAATTATTTGGTTTCATGTTTGTCACCCACATTACATCCAAAGCTCTTTAAAGAGGTGAATATAATATTCATTTTTATGATACCAACAAGGCACACAGTATACACACTCTAAATATTTATTGGAGGGGAAAAATCTGATGGTTAGGTTCTCTCATTTTATTTGACTACGTAAAAATCTATACATATGCATGAAATGGCCTTTTTTCTGTTTCGGACTGGGGACTTCCAAGCATATTTAAGAGAAAATACTTTTGCATTATTAAAGGGCCACTTAAATACGTTTTTACATATACCACATTCAAGAGTTTATGGGTGGTCTACATACTACTTGTTGATATCATCTAATCTTGAAAACCAGCTTTTCAAGAGATATGCTTTCTATGGTCCGCCAACTCACATACTACAGCTCCACAGATCTTTCTTCTCCAGGTTACATTAAATAATTTTAATATTTTCAAATGCCAAAGGATGAGGAGAACTTTCAAAAGAATGATCAAATATACCATAGCAACCTAAAGTTGTATGTCCAGTGGCTGAACAGCTCTTCAGGGACCTGAAAGTCTTGAACACTTGGATGTTGGCAAACGTGAGAAAACAAGAAATTCAGAGCCAAATATGCATGTAATACCATCTGGAATCACTCAAGTCCCTAAATAAGTTCAGTGAAGAAAAACATGATAGGAGTTCTACATCCTTTTTAAGAGAGTTGACTATTTATTCCTTTAATAAATTTATTGCCTAGTTAAATTTCAGTTGCAATCATGGGCAGTAAGAAGGGGAGGTTGATGACCCTATCAAACATAATACATCAAAACCATCAAATGTTTTTACTGTTCATGCATAATTTTAAGTTAGGACCCAGCTTCAGTAATAACCCAGGTTTTTAGGAGGAATGAGAACAATTATGTTTGCTACCATTCAAAAACCTCTACCTTATATGACCACACAGGACAAACCTAAAAGTTTTATACATAAACTACACTATGCTTAGTCTTAAGTACATTCCTGTAACATCAGCAGAATAAAGGAATTTAAAGACAGTCTAGTGAACATTTATGGCATTAGGTTGGCAAAATTTACTGGGGTTGCTAGCCAACTGCACCATTTCCCTAATGCTTGCCTGCCATCAAGGAAAATTACTGGAAAATGTTTACTCTATGTGTGTCAGAAGAAACTGTCCTCCCAGAAGGGCTGAATAGTTATTAAAGAGTGAATGTACAGAAAACACTTTCTGTACTCCAGTAAGCTAAAAGGTGCGTTAATGTTCTCAAAGAGAAAAATGAGGCACACCGCAGAAGAATAGACTTCACGTAAAAACAATGGCTGGGAGAGGCAGACGGGAAACTTACAAACAATTCAACATCACACACAAAGATGTGCAATCCATGTTCTTCTGAGGGATGACCTCTTGAGAGGCCAAAAGAAGTCATAATAAAAGGAGAAGCAAACAAGTGTTTCCATTATTGAACAGGTTTACATTTAGAGCTAAAAGCATGAGAAAAAAACAGCAGAAGGATCAAAGCTAGGATTAAACCAACATGAAAGTATTCCAAATTTTTTATATTTATTAAGGATTTATTCTGCAGCTATTTTTATAAAGAATTTGAGGACAACAATAATAGTGATCTGTTTGCTTCTCCTCTTCCCTCTCTCTTTTTAAATAGCAGAAAGTTGGAATATTTTTTCATTTCAGGTCAGTATGTATTGAAGACAGGTCCGTGATTTAAAATAGGTCAGTAGTTGAACCTAGCATTTCTCAGGGAAATGTGAATCTGGCACAGACATAATAGAGCGACCCTCCCTCTCTCTCCTTTCCATTCAAGCAGTATTTGCATTCCTCACTACAGATGGATGCCATATTTCCCCTCCCCAAACACCACAGTCTTTATGAGCTACCCCCGCTTTTTAAAGGTTGGTACTTAAAGTGCCTCATGATGTGTTTTCTGTTAAACTACTATTCACAGAATGTTAGCAGTTGAATTCTTATATGATAATTAAAATTGTACGCATATTGTAGCTGCCCAAAAACATTACATTTTCCTTGCAGAGGAGAGTAATAGATACCCAGCATCTTCCTTGGTAGCTTTCTATGTACAAAAGCATAGTTTGAAATAAAACATGTACACATAAAGTATTTTTCAGGATGTTAATATACACTATTTTTTCTTTTCTTTTTTTCTTTTTCTTTTTCTTTTTTTTTTTTTTTTTTTTTTTTTTTTTTTTTTTTTTTTTTTTTTTTTTTTTTTTTTTTT